CAATATGCCAACATTTTTATGGCTGACCTGGAACAACGCTTCCTCAGCTCTCGTCCACTCATGCCCCTTCTCTACCTACGCTATATTGATGACATCTTCATCATCTGGACCCATGGGAAGGAGACCCTGGAAGAATTCCACCATGATTTCAACAGCTTCCACCCCACCATCACCCTCAGCCTGGACCAATCTACACGGGAGGTCCACTTCCTGGACTTCCTCGTACCAAAAAAAGTGAGGTTCTTACCCACGAAAGCTTATGCTCCCAATACTTCTGTTAGTCTCAAAGGTGCCACAGGACCCTCTGTTACTTATAAAGTTTGCAGACGATACCAAGCTGGGAGGGGTTGCAAGTGCTTTGGAGAATAGAATTAAAATTCAAAATGATCTGGATAAATTGGAGAAATGGTCTGAAGTAAATAGGATGAAATTCAACAAGGACAAATGTAAAGAACTCCACTTAGGAAGGAACGATCAGTTGCACACATACAAAATGGGAAATGACTGCCTAGGAAGGAGTACTGCGGAAAAGGATCTGAGGGTAATAGCGGATCACAAGCTAAATATGTGTTAACAGTGTAACACTGTTGCAAAAAAAGCGAACATCATTTTGGGATGTATTAACAGGAGTGTTGAAAGCAAGACACGAGAAGTAATTCTTCCGCTCTACTCCATGCTGATTAAGTCTCAACTGGAGTATTGTGTCCAGCTTTGGGTGCCACGCTGCAGGGAAAATGTGGACAAATTGGAGAAAGTCCAGAGAAGAGCAACAGAAATTATTAAAGGTCTAGAAGACATGACTTATGAGGGAAGATGGAAAAAAATGAGTTTGTTTAGTGTGGAGAAGAGAAGACGGAGAGGGGACATAACAGTTTTCAAGTACATAAAAGGTTGTTACAAGGAGGAGGGAGAAAAATTGTTCTAATTAATCTCCTGAGGATAGGACAAGAAGCAGTGGTCTTAAATTGCAGCAAGGGCAGTTTAGGTTGGACTTGGGGAAAAACTTCTTAACTGTCAGGTTAGTTAAGCACTGGAATAAATTGCTTAGGGAGGTTGTGGAATCTCCATCATTGGAGATTTTTAAGAACAGGTTAGACAAATACCGGTCAGGGATGGTCTAGACAGTATTTGGTCCTGCCATGAGTGCAGGGGACTGGACTAGATGACCTCTCGAGGTCCCTTCCAGTCCTATGATTCTGTGTTTTCTTGCATGATATCCAGGAAACTTTCCTGTGTTTTTTCCTTCAGTGTGTGAAAGCTTAAATTCATTGCTCTGCTAGACAGTAAAAATCAGGGACTGAAGAGAGACACTGGATTTATAGCTTATTACTAGGGCCGTACCAATTCTCGGTCCATTTTGGTCAATTTCACGGTCCTAGAATTTTAAAAATAGTAAATTTCATATATTTAAATCTGAAATTTCACGGTGTAGTAACTGTAGGGTCCTGACCCAACAGGGGACTCTCTCTCTGTGGGTGGGTGGGAGGGGTGGGGGTTGCAAGATGGTTGTTGGAGGGGTTGCAGAATTGCCACCCTTACTGCTGGTGGTGGCGCTGCCTTCAGAGCTGGGCACTGGAGAGTGGCAGCTGCTGGCCGGGAGCCCAGCTCTGAAGGCAGCGCCACTGCCAGCAGCAGCACAGAAGTAAGGATGGCAGGATATAGTATTGCCACCCTGACTGCTGCGCTGCTGCCTTCAGAGCTGGGCCATTGGCCAGCAGCCACCACTCTCCAGCCACCCAGCTCTGAAGACAACAGCAGCACCTCAGTACAATAACCGTGTGAACCCCCCATGACCACCTTTTGGGTTGGGACCCTCAGTTTGAGAAATGCTGGTCTCCCCCATTAAATCTGGTCTTTTGTGTACGATACAGATTTCATGGGGGAGACCAGATTTCAGGATCCGTGAATTTGGTAGGACCCCTACTTATTACGATAATAGGTAACCCACTAACTCCCTCTTTTTGTCTTATGACTATATCTTAATGGGCCACTCTACCTTGAATGGTCCCTTACAGTATGTTCCACAAACAATCTCTTCCACCCTGCATTTAGCTGTGATGCTGGGAGTACCTTTCCCAGCCCTGAAGAAGAGCTCTGTGTGGCTCCAAAGCTTGTGTCTCTCCCCAACAGAAATTGGTCCAATAAAAGATATTCCCTCCCCGACCTTGTCTTTCTAATCCCCTGGGACTGACATGGCTACAACTACGCTGCATACAAGATACATCTATGCCAGCAAACCTTTCCTGATAGTGAGTTGTGGTGGGCTGGGGAACAGTCCCCCAGGGTAGTGGTGAAAGGCCTATCACTCGAGGTGCCTAAAATGGATTGAACAATCCCCTGGTGAATGGGCTGTAGGGCCTCAGTGGGAAGGATTTGATGAGACCGTCAGGCCTTTTCCATCTCTGATGCCTGTTGGTCTGTGATATTAGACATGCAGCTTTATCCAAACAGCCTTTGGGTAGCTGCCTGAGGAATGACAGGTTGAATTTGGCCACTGGGGGGAAGCCCATAACAGTAACGTTATTAGGAGCTCCTAGACGGTAGAGACTAATGAGCAGATGCTGCAGAGTCCAGCCAAAGTACATTCCCTAGTTCATGCCAAGATCAGTGGGCAGAGATCAGAGTGATGCCTTCTCTGTTTAGTTGCCTCAAGCAAAATGGGAGAAGCAGAGGAAGGAAAAACAGTGTACTGATGTTTTGCTAGAAATGTGCCTTTGCGGCACCTGTTGGTGCAATTGGCTGCGTAGCTAAGAATCAGCAGCACTCCGCTGACATCAATGGAGCTAGGCCAGCTTGCACCAGCGGAGGCTCAGGCTCTCTGAGGAGAGCCTCCTAGGGCCTGAGAAGAGAACCTGAGCACAATGCCCTGCTCAGATTCTCTGCCCACTTTGCTCCTGCAGGGACAGCGGCAGACAGGGTCTTTGCAGACTCGCCTCAAGTCATTGTTGGCACTGGCATTACTGAATAACTGATCTCTCCCTTTCCCTCTCTCTTCCTCCCATTTCTGGCCATCTCCCTTCTGCCCCATTTACTTCTCCATTCCAACCCATTTTCATTCCTGTATTTTCCCGTCCCCTTCCCTCCTTTCCTCTATCTTTTCATTTCTTTCTTTCTTTCTTTCTTTCTTTCTTTCTTTCTTTCTTTCTTCTTCTTCTTCTTCTTTCTTTCTTTCTTTCTTTCTTTCTTTCTTTCTTTCTTTCTTTCTTTC